TGAGTGTGTATGTGGTAGCAGGGGCTGGGGGAAAAGAAAGGACAGTGACTGACTTTTTAAGATCGGTTTTAGATTTCATGAAAAGTTGCAAAGTCAGTACAGAGTTCCTATATACCCAGAACCCAATTTCCTGTATTATTATCATCTTGCATTAGTTTAATATGGTACATTTGTCACAACCACTGAACCACTATTGACACATTATTATCAACTAAAGTTAATATCTTATTCAGATTTTCTCAGTTTTTACCCAATGGGTCTTTTCTGTCCCAGAGTCCCATCCACAATACCACATTGCTTTAAGTTGTCAAGTCATCTTAAGCTAGCTCCTCTAGACCGTGAGAGCTTCTCAGACTTTCTTGTTAACTGACTTTTAATTAGAATTACCATGTTGAGTAAATTTATGATTGAATTGCTAATACTCATAAGAATAAAATTAATTTTAAGATTAAAGAGATGATGTTTCACCAAAAAGCCTGGTGAACACACCTTGACAGAGACTCTTATAAATAACACCAGTCACCCTGGATCATGGACAATATCCCTGGGATACTCTCTTAGATGCAAGTAATCATGGCTAAGTATCTGTGGGGTGTTAGCCACTCTCCAGGGAGTGAGAAGAGATCCAACAATAATACTGCCTCAATTTTACAACCAGTTTGTTGATGACATCATACGAGACTGAGATATCTTTTATTTTTCCCCTATCAAACCCCTCGCCTGCCACACACACAATTAGGTTTTCACAAAATCTAAAACTAATGTGGCCTGTCATTTTATCCTGAATTTATCTGGAATTAGTTTGTTCTTCAGAAACTAGTCTGTGGCTACTTAGTAACTTGTGCTATTCTTTATCATTGCAAATGGCAACTGAATACTTGTGTTAGTTAGTGTATTCTTGAATCTGGAACATTTATAAGACATTGGGTATCTCTGTGATCCTTGTGCTACCTACAAAATTGGTTACTGGCTCTTAAATAACATCTGGAACTATAAAAAACTTTAGAATGCTTATTATTTGTGTCCATTATGTCCATTATTTGTGTCCATTTTTAAAGTGCACCAGCAGTAGCCTAACCACTCCCTTCCCGACAGTGGTCTAACTTTCCACCTCTTTTTATAATAGTTTTATCTTTTAAACCACCATTTCCTTGTTACTGGATGTTTATATGAGGAGCAGGGAGGTTTAAAGGCTCAATTTTCCTTGGTTCCTTGCTTTCACTGTACATAATTTAAGACTATTTCCCCACTCCTCTTAAAGTGTGCTTTTGCTTCAGTTTCTCAAATCTTGTCCTTAACAAAAAGATGCTAATTGTCTTGTATCATCTGTCTCAATTTCTACATTTACTGAAAGTTATAAATTGTCTTTTTAAAAAATCAACTTATATTTTAGAAACTTTCAATAGTGGAACTTAAGAATTGGAATTAACTTCTACACTGTCTGGTACATGCCCTTCATTTGACATGTGAAGCTCAATATGCAGCAAATGTCACGAAGTTTTTCTGCAGAAGAGTTAATTCTACATTCTAGGTATCCTAAGTCTAAGGAGTGATGCCATTACACTTACACTTCTGCCTCTTCATTGCATCTAAAGCATGTTTACCCAAAGTGAAATTAAACCTACAAAAATTCCTAGTGAATCTCCAAAATGAAGGCTCAAGAGTTTTCTTTATTATACCATCTGACTCCTTCTTTCCCTCTACTCAGTCTTTTTAGACCACTTCTCTTCTACCCTCTTCTGGAAGACTTCCCCTTCTGAGGTTCTTGTGATCGAGGTACATCTTCTCCTTGTGGTAATGGCACCACACACCAGGCACAACACCTCATTTCATCACCACAGCCAACTACCTCTGGACTCCTTTTCTGGCGCAGTCTCAATTCTCTTTGGCAAAATGAAGCAGGTGCTGGGAGAACAGTCAAGGGAGTAGGCTGACATTGCCACAAGTCAATCTCATTTCCCCTCACTGCCTCACATAAAACCATGTGGATTGGTTTGTTCTTCTAGATTGTACCATACTCTTTTGTGCTTCCGTCCTTTTTAACATGGTCATTCTCCTTTTTACCTATCATTTTTAGACAGCAATCTATGTATTCTTCAAAATTCAGATAAACCATCACCTCTCTGTGCTTTTACCAACCTACTGCTTCCCAGAGCTGAGTGCACCTCATACCCCACTGTATGTAACTCTATTACGGTACTTGCTATATACGGTAAAATTATACTGACATGCATGCTCCCCTTAGACTTTGAGCTCCCTAACAGCAAGAAAGATGCCTCATTAGTTCTGGTATCCTTATCTGGCTGCTTAGCAGAAAATAAGCTATGATATTAATAGTAACACATTATTTGAATATACACTATGTGCCAAGCACTATGCTAAGGTATTCACAGGATTTATATATTCTGCAAAATGATCTTAGACAACAGTGCTGTTATCATGATCTCTTAACAGGTTATAAAATTGAAGTCCAGAGAAGTTAGGTAACTTGCCCATGTGTGTGCATCAGTTAAGTTTTAGAACTCAAATGCCAGTCCAACTCTAAGTCCATTTTCTTACGTGTTTGATTGCTTCTCCGAGGGTGTCAGTAAATAGTTGTTGAATGAACAAATCCTCAAATGTGAGTCAATGATGGAAAGAATCCTGTATTAAAGCAAAATGATACCAAGAATTCTAAATGTTTGAGCTGCTTTGCTTAGTGTATAGCCTGGAATGGTCCTTGGGGATTATGTAGCCCAAACTCTTCACTTTACAGAGGAAGAAACAGGCTTCAAATGATACAACTTTTCTCTCCACTTTTGACAATATTGCATGCATATATATATATATATATACGTATATATATATATGTATATGTATATGTATATATATGTATATATATGTATATATATATATATATGACTCTCTTAAGGAGTCACATTTTTAAAAGTTAGATATCTATCTATATCTATATCTATATCTATATCTAACTTTTTAAAATGTGACTCCTTAAGAGAGAAACATATACAGAGTAAAGGAATTTATAATGACTCTAAGCCCTGTACAATTTTGAAGCAGGGTGAGGGTAAACATGTTTTCCAATCTCTGTGTGTCTGTGCACATGTAGAACTTTAAGAAGAAGGTGGACATTTGCTGGGAAGTTCTTCAACGTGCACATTTCTAAGGGACACAACATGCATATTTGAATACTTTTCCAGGGAAAATGATAGAATCACTTTTCCTAATGTCTTATGAAGAACTCTGTGGAAGATGCTGGAATCACTGTTGTGAACAAAAGGGCCTGAAACCAATCCAGGAACACTCTTTTTTCTTGAAAAGAAAATTCTAACTAGTCCAGCCAGCAAATGTGGCTTTGAATAAGGAAGGCAAATGTGAGTTGGCTCACACTGGATTGGACATTTCCCAAGTGTTTTTCCCACGAAGCTGCAGTTTGGCCTCGCTTTTAGGGGATAGTATGCTAAGAGACTGGGACTGGGAATACTCAGAGACCTCAGGAAAAAAAGTTCTGGCAGACACCAAATTATTTAATCTACTTCTTTTCCTGTTGCAATCTTTTCCTTAGGAAAAAAAAAAGAGGTCAAAATGAAAAGAATGTGAGTTTATTTTAATGGGAAAGGAATTTGGGGGGATATAGAAATCCCAGTTGTTTAATTCTTCAATAAAAAAAACATTTCTTCTACTGAATAAAAATTCAAATTTCACATTTTGGGATATTTGATTCTAGTCTGTTTTAATTACTATTAGCAGGAGCATAAAAACTAGGCTGTATCTGCAGGACAGTACAATAACCAAGCACAACAAGTACTTATAAGCTTTGTCTATGCTCAAGTAGATATATAAGGTGTAGGTGGCAAAAGTCCTGCACTTCAAGGAACAGACATATCATCTTGTTATGGACTCAAGACATATCCAGAAAACATTTAGAGAACAGGACAGTTTTAAAATGGTTTATATATAATCAAATAAGTTATTTTTACAGTCGTGGATTATACTGAAAGACTTTGAGGCACAAGTAGGATGAATACATGTATTAAATGATTTTGCTTTTATAGATGAAAAGGAGATTTTTTTTTAAAAGAGGTGTTCTTGTTGCGGTCACGATGTGAACATAAACAGAAAAGTATAAAGTAGCATTCATTTGAGTAGTCATTCAGCAAATATTTGCTGAACACCTGCATGTACAGGGCCCTGTGTCAAGTGCTAGCAGGACATTTCTTCTCATTTTTCAGGGAAAGTGAAGAGACTATGCTCACAGGAGCAAAGGGCACGTTTTAGCTGTGTGACTTTGGATAAGTCACTTAACCTCTTGGAGCCTTAGTTTCCCCCCTTGTGAAATTAGAGGATTTGCAAACAGTGGTTTTTAAAGTTTCTTCTTTTTTTTTCCTTTTAACAGAGAAGCTCTGTTCTGTTCTAATGAAATATTAAGCACAGTCCCACCATATTAAGGAACCAGAATGACTGGGCTCTGGCTGAAGGGAGAAAAAGGGTGGGGAGCAGGGATGGAGGGACAGACAGAACCTGGATGTGCCTTTTTTTTCTCCCTCTTCCTTCCCAGTCCATGCCACAGAAGCCCTTCTGCAGAATCCCAGGACTAGAGGGAAACGAGTTTTTAAAACAACTCACCTTCCTGATTTCTCAATTGCCTTCCAATTGTAAAGTGTCACAATAGAAAATATAAACTATCAGCGAGTTAGCTTTTTAAACAGAGTTTGATTATAAAGGATCTTGGATTCTAGGATACAAAAGCAGTGTAGGTTCTTAAGAGAAATGACAAATGGTTGTTTAAAAGACTGATGTTTGAAAGTGTCTGGTAATACCATTTAAGAAGGGCTGGAAGAAGAAACTAGATATTAAGCTGTAAGGGGCTGCACTAGGCTAGCATTACTGGGGATGGTAAGGGTCAAACCACTACAGTGAAGGGAGAATCTGCAGGACTTGGTAAGATTAAATAGACAGGGAGGAGACAAAGGAGTCAAAAATAGCATTCCAGTTAGTAAATCCAATGTGGTATTACAGATAGATATGGGGAAGTAGATCTCAAAGTAGGTGCACATTGGAATTGCCAGGGGACCTCTAAAAAACACTGATAACTGGTTCTCACCCCTCAGAGATCCTGAATTAATTGGTTAAGGGTGCAGCCTGGGCATTGGGATTTTTAAAGCTCCCCAGGTAATTCTAATGTACAGCCAAGGTTGAGAACCACTGAATTAGAAGGGCAGGGAGTTATGGCAGGCCTGGAGAATATGTTTTAATGGACTATCTTCTGCTGTTTTTATGATCTAGGTAATTTTTTTTATTAAAGTTGATGTTTTTTTCCAAATTTTTTGCCTAATATTAAATATTAACCATATAACTACAGAATTATATCTAATATTATTTTTTTTCTATATTGTCCTGTCAACATATCTCTGTGGGACTTCCTAGGGCACCAGGCACTGTGTTTTTTCAATGTTGAAAATCAATGATAAAATCTCCACTAACGAGAAATGTATGTGGGTAAGTAGGTGTATAAATGTTATTATTTCAAGCGTTTTCCTTTACAAAAGATCATTATTACAGGATCATAATGATGTTTATACAAAAATTGTCTTTCCTTTAAACACACACACACACACACACAATTCAGAGACTTATAAACAGCATATATTCAGACATTCCTACCTTGAAATATTACTTAGTCTCTATAAGGGTATTAAAATCAAGTTCAGCATTTACTCTGCCTAAACACAGCAAAAGCAAGCTAGATGAAATTTTAAGTCACATCAATCCCTAATATTTGCATAGCCTTTTTGTGTTTTTAAAACCCTTCTACAAACATTATCAAGCTGAATTCTAACAATAGTTCTATTATTTAATAATGACAAATAGTCTGATTTTCTTTTCCTAGATGAGGAAATGCAGACCCAGAAGTTGGGTAATATGCCCAAGTCTCCTTGGTAGAATTTAACCCAATGTGTCTCTGGTCTTTTCTTTCCTGGTCTGGTTCTCTTTCTTCTCTTTTAAGCACATAATCTAGTTATCAGATACAGGTCTGCAGTTTAGGCTCCAAGAGGGAAAGGTAGATGTTTATCTATTCAAAGTGATCTCTTTGTCCTCTATGTATCACAGGATTTTATCAGTAAAATCTAATAAAAACATTATTTTCTACTTTTCATTAGAGCTATGAAAATGCTTATTTTCATTATTGAACTGTAAGCTTTTTGAAGGTTGGGGACATGTATGAGAGTGATGTTTCTTATACCTCCAAAACACCCAACAGTTTCATTTACTTAGCCAGGTAGGAGCACATCTTCTTTTATTACTACATTCTGTTTTAACCCAATTTATTAGACTTTTAGCTCAGAATCAGAAATATTTTCCAAATTAATTTATACTCTTTATTCTACCCTTCTATAATGAATATAGAACCAGTCTACTAATATTTACATGGCAAATAGCTCTTCAGATTTGAAAAAAAGTTAACATATCTTCCCTAAGGTATTTCTTGCTCCATCAGAGCCAGTGTTCAAGTTTCCTTAATAATGTCTCAGGGAAAAGTTTTTCAGATCAATCGCTTTCTCTGGCAATGTCTTCTGGATAAATACATGTTTGGCAATGTTCCCCTTATGGCCTAGGCACTCCAAGCCAAAAACCATGACTTCAATAGTGACATGACCTGTGTAGAGTTCACAGGTACTATTATTTTTCTTGGTAGGGGCTCATGATTTTAGATTAAGGTTATGTTAGCTTTCACAGCCACCACAGCTCATCAACTGGAAGGCTGAGCCTGCTTCTTCTAGGTCAATAGTAATGATCTAATAGTATCATCGTCTGAAGTAAGTGGAAGAATAATTTGTATATCTGAGCTCTTCAAACAGTTTTTCCTAAGACAGGAAATACAATGCTACTGAAGGGATACCTGGGAAGCCAAACCAAGGTGTGCTCACAGATAATCTGGGTTTCATTATGACTACTGAAAGATAACTTCACTTTCCCAAGAACGGGTTTGTAGAACTGCATTAAAGACATGTGGCATAAACTACTAAGTGTCTTTATCATGAAGATAACAATGCCTTTTCTGGGGGGGGAAAAAGAAGCAGCTGTATATTAAAAAAAAAAACAAAAAACATGTGAAATGTATAAAGAGCACAAAACTATTTGAGAGTCATCAAGTTAGGACTTCTACAATTTGGCATTAAGCCTCCTAATTATTTCTCAATCAATATGTCCAGAGATTATTCAAATAGTACAAAAGCAATGACTGAGAAACAGTGTCATAACATTTTTTAAATAGTGGAAATTCTAACAAGTTGTCTGTTTAGAATTAGATTGCTTCAATTAGAAAAAGATGTCTATCCACCACTCCACCCTGTCATATCCTGACATAAATAAAAGGAGGATGAATTTCAAATTACCTCTACTCATGACAGTTTTATCCTAGACAAAGTTCCTGCCACAAAACAGAGGGTGAAGGACTTCTAGTAGAGCTGTAATTGCCATAATGTTGATTAAATGTACACTTAATGTGGGGAAAAGCTTTGCCGTGGCACGGCAGAGTCTTTCTAGTGCTATTTAAAAACCCTTCAAGTACAATCTTCTAAAAGTGGTACTTTGATGAGCCATACAACAAAATACCTGAAGTTCCATTGCTATGTAAAGCAGAGCTGGGAACTGCAAAGCAGCGAGAAGTGTGGGCGGAACCGCCTCATATAGACTATCACATCACACATGTATTTCTAGTTATAAACACCATAAGAAAACCAGCTTTCTTTTCTACTTGCAACTTGTTTTCGAGACCAATTATTATCAATTTCATTTGATCAATTCTCATAGTACTTCATGTACTAGGCTTGGTTCCCAGTGACATTTAGCTATTGTACCAAATCACACATATGTTCGTAAAGGGTAATTGTCGCCAAAACTAAAGATAATCAGAAGAAAGTGTCACGGGCCAGAAAGTACTTCCCAAGCAGAAAAGCCAAGTGTACTTTGAAGGGAAGAATTATATATGTGTTGAATAAGGTTTGGAAAGTTTTGTTATAATTTAAAAATCATTAGTCATTACTAAATAGTCACACATTTCATATCACGATGTGTGTGAACTTTTGTACACACACATACACACACACAAACAAACACACAACTATGTGCTTCCAGAGAGATCTCTTTTGGTTAAGTATGACGGTATTACCAAAATGACAGACAAAGTTTGAATCATTATTTTCAGAGGTATTTGGAAGAGTTAGTGGAGAAAAGAAACAGAATGGTATTCGAAGGCGTAAAACTGTGTCAAAGGATCCCTAACTTCTCCTCTGCCCTCCAAGCCCACCCTAGATTCTTTAAGTATATAATATTGAAGAATTGGTATCTAAACAGTTTAAACTAGTGCTAGCCTTAGCTAGAAAGACAAACAAAAACCTTTCTCCGGAGCTGTTAAGTAGAAATGGTAGCCGCAAGCTCAACCACTAGGCTTTGAGTGCTAGTTTGGAGAGCAGAACGCACTGTCAATTGACACTTGCCTTTGACAATTTGAACAGAGTCGGGTCACCTGACCCCCAGCCTCATACACAGCTTAGTAAACTGCATTGCTCCCCAAAGAATAATTTATCTTTCTCTCTTCAGAGTGCTAGACTTCACTCCAAAATGAGGTAACTGAGACTGGTCAACTGACTTCACATCAAAGCATTACTCTCAAGGAAGACAGTCAGGAATAGAGAATTTAGCCACAAAGGAAATTAATTTACATTTTATACCACTTCCATTTGATTACCTACCCATCCACCCAGGGAACAAGGTGTTTTGCATTGTCACTAATAATGCAAACTTAAAATTTAGAAGTATATTCTTTATCCTAATACTAACTAGTTTTTCATTTCTTTTCAGTAGCAGTCCTGTTTTTCAAAGTAGAAATAAAAAGTGAATAATAACATTCAGAGTTAAATTAAGAACAGGAGTCCTCACAGGTCTTGGGTCAGGAAGACCAACACGATGAACAAAAATACCACAAAGGCATCATCTCTGACATCTAAGTTAGGAGTTGGCGTCTGAATGCTTTAGAAAGGCAGGTATAAACCCTCTTAGTAAAAACTGAATAATGTGCCGATTACATTTCACAAAATTAATGTTTAATGAATCTCTAAGGATTTGTTTTTACTTTATTTACTAGTTTCCATTAATAAAATGTGTCAGAAAATATTTGAGCATACAATTCCACTTTACAGAGAAGGTGTGTACATGGAATTCACTCTCTCTGCCATGATGCATTCAAAACCAATGTCTTTATGCCCATGCTTTCTTATAAACGATACTCAATATAAAAGAGCTGGAAGATCACTCACCAATGAAGTGAATATCCATTGAGACCTACTGTGTGCTCAGAAGGGTGAGAACTCAGGAACTGAATGAAGCCATTGTCTTAGGTCAGACAATTACTTGTAAAACAGCAAACAAAATGAAGTCATAATCTAATTGACAGCTAAGTTGAATGTTACAGTAAAATGATGGAACAGTTTATAAGTGAGGGAGATCAGAAGCCTAAAACAGTTATATATAAGATCATAAGATGACCCTCAATATTGGCTATAGAGCATGAAGAGGATTGGAATGTATTAGCAAAGGCAAAAAGGGAGAAATATGTACATAGTGTGTCCATAGAAAAGCAAAAAAAAAAAAATCCTACTAAAAATGAAAGATGAGACTAGGTTATTATAGTCTCAGAAGTGAGGAGGAATTTACACTTAACGCAGTGAAGGTTGGGAGCTACAGAAGGCTTCTGAGCAAGAGGTAGACAAGGTAAAGCCATTGTTTATAGACTCTTTAGCCAGGATAATGTAAAGTTGGTGGCAGGAAGGAAAACCTAAAGCCAGAGCTGACTACTCTAGAATCCTCTTTCATTCAACAAAATGGGATAGTAACTATTAGGGAATATCTGTTCATGTTTTTAGAAAAGGACAAGCAGAGTTTAACAATTACTTGTAAGGAGAGAAGCAGAGAAAGCAAGGAGCCCACCGAATGGTTAATACACTATTGGGATTACAAGAGGCTGGAGACTTAGCGCTGGCATCAAGTCCTTCAAATATAATATGATGGGGACACAGCTTTATACTAGAAGTGTTAAAGTGATGGTCATCCCTTCATGCCTGGTTTCATAGGTGCCACATATAGTTTAAATTTCCACACCATATATGTTTTCAATATTCTATCTATGCTACTTATGCTTGATTCACTATCAGGCATGCCTTAGACAAATCGGAAAAGAGAGTTTTAATTTTAAAAAAGTAAATATATGGCTAACTAATACAGAAAGGGATCAAACAATACCATAAAATGGAAATGATCTAGCCTTTTTTTAAAAACAACAGAGAATTTCAATCGACTAGTGTTCAAGCATTGAGTCACTGTGAATTACACAGAGCCTTGACCAATATTTATTGCTACATGTTTTAGAAGCAATTTCCATTTTGATGGGTTGCTTCAAAAGTGGTATTCTGAAGCAGTTAGGTAACATAAAAATATAG